TTGATGAATGAGGGCATTTCTGTTTCACAAAACACGATGTCAACAGTAAGGTAAAAAACACCCTCCAAGCTTCAGAGTGCATACTGAAAACTAGCTGGACTGCAGATCAAACCATCTCAGAGCTGTCTTTTACCAGTCAGCTGCTCACGAGTTCTACTTGCTTCTGGAAGCAAGAACATCTGTACTTTCCAAGCATAACTCCTGGCTCTGAAGTACTACTTTTGTTTCCATGCTTCCTGTATTCTTACTTCCAGCAGGAGAGTTGGCAGCTTGTGCAGATTTTCATTGCTTCCAGTGGAAACTTTTGTTTTGTTCTTGTGCTTAATTTTCTCTCCTATGTGTCTTCTCTGACATATGGGACCATGCCAGTTTGAACAGCGAATTCTTTAGTTTCTGTTTCCTCACCCCTGTTTTTTTTTCAACTGAGATCTTCAACAGCATTTGGCAAATATGAGAGTGCTTTTGGAAAACACCATCTACATAAATTTTTTTCCCCTAGATTATATGGTTTTGAGTTAACCATCCAAATTGAGCTGTCTTCTCAAACTTGAATATAAACAGTCCCAGAGTTTTTACTGGTGGGCCTAGCTTTACCAAGCCATATCAGAAGCTGTAGGTCATTTCTGAATTGCTGTTCTTTGGGGACACAGTCTTTGCTGTTCCTTAAAATCATTGAAGCTGGTCTGCAGGAACGAAGAGTGAAGATTTGCCTAGGTTTGAAATAGGATGTGGGAAATCTAGAAGAAGCCATGAAAGATTGGATAAGAAGACTAGTTTAAATGTATTAGCTTCTATTTGTTCATGGATGACACAACTGAAGATCTCAGGCATGGTCCAGGGACAGCATGCATGTGTGCATTTCACTGCTCAGTTGAAAGGATGACAAAGTTAACATCTAGGCGTATACACCTTCCTGCTACTTTTTGTGTTCCCTTCTAGTATATTAAAGCTCCTTGTGAGGGTAGAAAAGATTAAGAGCATTACATTGCAAAAAAAAGAAATGTTTTTTGAGACTGTTTTATTTCTATATAGATACAAAATTAAGGAGGAGAGAGAAAATACAGGGGAGACAGAGAACACGAAGTTGAAAAAAGGATAAGGGAGGTAGGGCAGAGAGGAAAAAGAGGAAACAGATGTTGGAACAGTGCAAATGATAGATTATGATGTGGGATTTAAGGAAAGGAAATTTCTTGTTAGCAAAAGTCGAGCAATGAGAGAAAGAAAGCTTAGGAAGTAAGAAAAATTTTCAAAAAAGCAACTTGAGTAAATTTTGATGATCTTCAGTACAGAATATCTGTGTATAAAACAAACAGTTATTACTCCCTGCCTCACCAGGGAATGAAAGAAGATGTGACAGACATTTTTCTCCAAGTTTTCCTGCAGCAGTCTTTATGAAAGTTTTTGATGGTGGGCAGAAGGGCCTGGGTTTTTGTTTTTATTTTCTCCTATTTTATCCTCCATAGTCTTGTATGATTGTCTTGATTTTTATTTTATTTTTTAGCCTGAGACTGAACCGTCTCGCCGATTCTTTGTTGACCAGTGGGAGCTCTCCCTTAGCCTCCGTTCTTCTAACCGCCCTTCTTCACCCTCATCTGACTCCCTTCGACAGGTAGCATTAGCCTGAGCATTGCAAGATGCACTCTGCTGTGTCCGCTTGCTCCACCCCAGTCCCACCAGCCAAGGATATACCACAAGAGATAGCTAGGCTTGCAACACTTCACCTGCAGAATGCAATGTCTGTGCATATTCATGCACAAGTGAGAAACCAGAGGCAACTTGTGGCATAGCTAGGTTATTCTTAGCCGTAAAGCTTCTGGTAAACCTCACGCTCAAATCAGTTTTTTTCAGTGCTGATAGTCTTCTGGCTTGAGAGTAAAGCTTTTTTGTTTTACTTGCCACTTCTGTTGAGATTTTGAGCCAAACTGCAGAATAAGTTTGTGCATATATACTTAGAGGAGAGTATGAAACAAACAAAAAGCGCTTTGGCTTTCTGAAAAATCACTAGGAATATGAACTGGTTGCAGTTGCCATGCATGCAACAAACAGCAGGAACTTGATCTGGCCTAAGGCTGGATTAAGTTCTTTGCCCACCCTTCAAAATGTTGCAGGACATTGTATATCTTGAAGGCCTTTGGCTAAGTTGAAGAAAGATAAAATGCTTCACTTAAAATCCAATTTTAAGCCACATTTGGAGGTGAAGGGAGCAGAATGGGACGGGATGGGACACAAAACCAAGAACCAAGCATTAAAGATCCAGCAACTTCGTACCCCACACCAAATTGCCCAAGGTATTGTGAGTTAAGATTGGCAGAATCCTTTTTCAAGAACAGAAGCTCATATATATGCTGGTAGAAATTTAAAGATCCTGAAACATCTGCAGTTAAGGTTGGCAATGTGGTTTCAACTAAAAGAAAGATTGTACTAAAAGCCCCCGCTTCCCAAGAAAAAGCTTGATTTATCATTTAAGAAAGCTTAAACAGCCTCAAACGTTTTTGATCTGTTAGAAGAAAATGGAAAATTCCCAGCCAGATGATTTTGGTTATCATTTTAAGATTGACATTGGATGGAAGGAAGAAAAGTAAAAATTTCCAGTGGGCTCCATTTAAAATATCATATTTGTCAGGATGTGATAAATGACATTGAAGTCCAACTCTGGTGGACATGTGTGTGCGCTTACACACACTCTAGCTAAGGAATAATAAGGAACCTTGAAAATTGCAAAAGACAAATTATATGTTATTTCTTGCATATTCAAATACAGCGAGTGCTCTGCATTTTGGGATAGGATCAGTGGACATGCCTGGAAAAGCAGTAGGTGTAAGTTATTTCTGGGCAGAAATATACCCTAGCCACTGTAGTGGCACAGAACTTAAGGAATTAGGACTTCACTAACAGCAGCAATAAGTGATGGCTGAGCACTCAATTTTCAAAATCTTTTCCCAAAAGAATTACCCGTTCAGTGGCAGATTTCAGCTTTTTTAGTGCTTCCTGCTACTCTCATATCTGCAAACATGTAAAGATCTTAAACGTTCCTAAAAGACTAGTAATCACATTCATGAAATTACATTCTGTGATTAGTTGTAGGAAATAACTGTTTTGCTTCAAACAAGTTCTGCTATATGGATAAAGTGGTTTCTGAGATAGGACTTCAATCCTTTCCTTCAGAGTAGTGTTATCCTAGGAGTTTTACACTTGCCAGAAGCTAGAGTGTGCCTCTGATCTTCATTTGCTGAGAAGACTCCAGCTAGAAACATTCATAATGCTTCTTAGTCTGGCGAAGGAACATTGCTTGGTGTGCTGCCTGCTGCTCTACTGAGACAAATACATGGTGTTTGCAGTATGATTGCACTAACATAGCTGTAAGCACATAGTTTTCTTAACTATGTAATTACTGCCAAGTGTTGTAAGTATTTCCTGTGAAAAGCACTTCCTCTGCTCTTGTACTGACTGAACATGGCTTTCAAACGCTCCTTTTGTACAATCCAAGGTAACAGCCAACCTGCCTAGATTCCTTGGAATATTGGAAGGTTTTTAGATATCCAAAGTTATGGAGTTTGGCACTACACATGAGGAAGAAAAGCCTAGGTATAAAGCCATGTGCAAAGCTGAACAAGTATATGTTTCAGATGTATGCAGGTGTGGCTCTAATGCATTGCATGAGGATCTTGCATCTTTTCCATATAAATGGAATGCTCTGTGTACTTTTAGCATTGGAAGAATTCATATTTTTAGTCACTGAGTTCCTGAGTTGAGGATTTCTTCCTGCTCTGCAAATGCTCTGCAAGTTGGTTCTTTCCATTTGCTAAGCATCTACATGTACTGTTATGATCAGCACTTGGAATTAGGCTGTATGACATGTCTTTTACCTGGAACTTAAAGTTTTAACCTATATTTGGTCTTGTTTTTGAGAAGTGTGTACATGCAGGTTTCCAGATGTAAAAATGCCCACAAGCAAAAGAAAACTCCTCTGTTTTCTTCATCATCATATATTTCCCGAGTACTTATAGAATGCTAAATGCAGACCATATTTGTTTTTACAGTTGGTACTGGACTGGTGATTACTCATGATGCTGGCTTTGCTGTTACTACTTCTCACTTCATATTGTCCACTGTCTTGGCATGGTTTGACCTCTCTGCACTTCTTCACCACCTAACCTATTATCATTTTTGTCATTTTTTTTTAAATTAATTTTTTCCTTTTCTCACTTCCCTATTGTTTTACTCCACCCATCTGGTAGAAGTATATAAAGATGTACACAGGCGGAGTGAGCTCTTTGGCTGAGCAGATAGCCAATCAGCTTCAAAGGAAAGAGCAACCCAAAACCCTTCTAGACAAGAAGGAACTGGTAAGACGATGTACAGAAGATGATGCGTGTTTGTGATTAGATGTACTGTAGATCTGACGTATTGTGAGTGTTTGGTTGTTAACTACAGTGATGGCATCTGTAGTAGCTTTGTAAAAGACTTCACTTCCCTTTCTCCATCTGCCCTCACTCTTTTCCTCATTTTCCTTGCAAAATGTTTGAATCCAATGTCAACATCCAAGGACTGTGCATATACCTTTGGAAAACTGCTTGTCGTATTCATGAAGATGTGTTTGATCCACTGGGGCTAGTATTGCATTATTGTTTTCTGGAGGAGATGCCCTTTTTTGATAATGTGGGTCTAAGAATTGCTGTTTGAGGGATTTCTGATGGTTTTGCCTTTCCATTGTATGCCTCCTCTTGGCATTTATTTCAAGGACAGCATTAATAGTACGTGTGTCCACTCTTCTATCCAGAGCTGTAATTTGCTCCTGACATATGTAGGCATGGCATCCTAGGACCTTGTTCCCTGGACATTAAGGTTAGTTTTTGGTGTCCTGACTAAAGCTGTGAATTTTGTCAAAGAACTGCAGCATCCAGATGCTCCAGTGTCCACACAGATGAAGAGATAATGCGACCATGCAATCTTGATGAGCCTAGATGCACACAAACCTATTTGTGCCTATTTCTGTCTAGGGCTCGCTGAAAAAGGAGTTCCCCCAAAACGTCGGAGGCAGCGATGTCTGTTATTTCTGCCACAAGCGAGTCTACGTAATGGAAAGGCTGAGTGCTGAAGGCAAGTTCTTCCACCGCAGTTGCTTCAAGTGTGAATACTGTGCCACCACTCTTCGATTGTCATCTTACGCCTATGATATTGAAGATGGTAAGAGAAATTGCCTTTATGTCAGAATTGTCTTAACAGTCCTGGAATTCTGTTTAGAGATCTCAGCTCCTTCTTCATTTACAAATTACTTGGTGAGTTGGGAAAGGGAATAACTTCTATTCCAAAGACACCATCTCTCAAAATGTTGAAACTATATGGATCTGCTCTCCTGTGGCCAGATCATGCTAGCAGCAAAATAACGGAGCTATTAGGAATTAATTTAATATAAAAAAAAAATAGCTCCTGGAGGGCAAAGAGACAAATAGTATTTTGGGGCTTTAAAAGGCTTGTAGGCTGATTTCGAAGGCTAGATGCTTTACTCTTACGTCAGTACTATTAAATGAGAAAACTGCTTAGTACAGTGTTTAAGATGATCATTTGAAAAAATGTAATGTGGGAGACATGCAAACAGCTTTTCCTTCTTGAAGACATCACAACAGTCCAACTCTGTACATTTATTTTTGACTTAATATAATAGAAACTTTATAATCAGAGGCTATGATAATGGCTCATTACAGACCCAGTTCTGTTTATATACTGAATAACGGAGCCTGGAAGTTGAGAAGAGATAAGCACATGTTACATATATGGAGAAAGTGTTGTTGAAGCAGTTACTGCAGATTCAGTAATGACTCTTGTTTTCTGCATCTGTTAGACTGAAGAGGAAAGAATATAATTGCAGAATATGCTGATGGCTCAGTTTACAGAATCTAGAATGATTAAAGGGAGCTTCAGATACACCTAACAAGTCTGAGAAACTGGGCAATATAGCAGCAGACGAAACCATTAAAATTGTATATTGAAAGGAATATAACTTAAAATTACACCTGCTTTAAGGAGTAATCTTCTTTAAAGAGTAGCAATGTGTTGCATTCTTTGAACAATGGCTGTCAGAAATTTCACATTTTTTGAAGAAAGAATAAAGGAGAAAGTATGCCAGATAAAGGTTTATGTATATCAAAAAATATGCCTTTACCTTCTCTCACAGCTGCCACTTATCTTTACTCTATCTCCATAGGAAAACAGGTAAAAAATGATCTACAACTAGTGAGAGGTTAGATGGAAAGGATTCTACACCAGATATGATGGAATATTGAGTCTATTTAAGAAGACAAAATAACAGCAAAAGTAGTAGATAATCAATACTTTTCCCCACTTACCATTGAGGTGAAAATGAAGTAAAAGTTATAAACTGACATGACACAGGATGAAACTCCAGAATATTCTGCTGCAGATTAAAATGTTATAAAATTGATAGAGATCTACTGCATGTAGCTATGAAGAATCTCTTTGAAAACGCTGGATAGGATAACAATCATGGAAACATTGAGGCTGAAAATGGGCAAAAAAAGAACTAAAATAATGCACATATTGATGATGAACTGTATAACAGTCATCAGGAATGGACTTGTTTGGTCACAAGGAGTTGAGGAATCTTAAAATCATCAAACGAATCTCTCAATAAGGAATAGAAAACCCATTATTACTTGGCCAGAAGGTCAGCAAAGGTGGCTTGTGAGTTTAAGGGGGCAATGGTAATTTGGAAATCAACATATAAAAGAGTAGTAACAGCTTCATTAGCAAAGTTGGGAAAAAGCATTTTGGGAAAAAGCATGTTGTTATTTTGGACGTTCAGAAGCAGTTGAGTGTCCGATTATACATGTTTAGCAGTAACAAACTGAGCTCTTCTGTCAGCTGTTTGGGCAGAAATACTTTTTGCTACCAGTTTTAGTGATGCCCCCTGCCAGCAAGCTTAGGAGCACAGTGATGTTCTGAATGAAGCAATACAAAATGTGGAGTCTCAGCACGCCTATAGCATTCTTTTTTTCAGGCCTGATAGTTTCATATATATATGAAGCAGATATATGTGCATCTTCTCTAGTCTAATCGTTGAGCTCAAAATTTAGCTCATATTTCATTCTGGGTTTTCTTCCGCAAAAAAAAAAAAATCCATACAAACATTGTTACTATTCATCTGTGTTGACTGATGAGTCAGCATTGTACAGTCAGCGCCTGGTTTTAGGCGTTGAAAGTCAAAAGCATTTTTATATAAGAACTTTTCTGTTGTTGCTCTTTTCAGAAATTTTCCGTGAAACAGATAATTTGAGAAAATAGTATTTGGAAAGAGTCAATATTAAGAAATGTTTATTTAAGCAGAGATATCTCAAAAGAGACCGTTTGTCACTTTCCCTTCGTAAGAGGAGGCATTAGAGACTACTCTGCTCATGCAAGCCTAGAGAAAGTGGGGGAAGCAGCAAAGATCAGAGTGCAAGTCTGAAATGCATTAGCAAGGTTGGAGGGCTAGGATAGCAATATAGGATGCTGCATACTGAGCAGGTATATCGTGACACAGGTACACTGGACGATAACTCTGTGCCATCAATCAGCTGCCATTATTGTTTGTGTTAGGGAATCACTAGTGTTGTTCTGGCTTCCTGACAGTGTTCAGATAGTGGTGAAAGCCCATTTAAACTTCTGGGATGATACTAAATTAGTAGCATCACAGAAGCCCTTAATTGTGAAAATGAACCTTTGGTTGATTGTCCTTTTCACAAGTAGCCACTGTGCATTTTGAGATGGTTCTTTGGGAGTTAACACTGTCCTTTCCCACTTTCCTCTGCTAGTTGTATTCATTCTTGCTTTTTCCAAAAGTGCTTCTGCCAGCTTTTCATGTGATGATTTCTTTGTTCCTCACACACTGCCGCATTGTTAGCATGTGATACCACACAAGCCTCACAGCTTTGCTTTGGTGTTTGATAGGACATTAGGCTAAATGGCTGTCAGGCACCCAATGGAAAGGAGCTTGGCTAGGAGGGGGAGAGAGGAGGGCTGGAGTTAAAACTTTAGAGTGTTTGTCTCCCTGCATAGTGAATAAACCAGACAGAGCAAAGGGGATGGCAGAAAATAAGCTGCATTGAGATGAATATTTATATTTTGTTAAATTGCTATATTCTGGTTGTTAACCTTCTTTATTGTTTCATCTGCAGGTAAATTCTACTGTAAGCCTCACTACTGTTACCGACTCTCTGGTTATGCTCAGAGGAAGAGGCCAGCAGTGGCTCCTCTGTCAGGAAAGGTAACTCATTATTTTCATCTAGCATGTCAAGTTAGTAGGTTTTGATTCTTAACATTGAAAAGGGAATATGCTGGATTTTTTTTCCAGAAAGTAGAAAAAATCTAAATGCATTACATTGTTTTTGTTTGTCATGAGGGCTTGCTGTTTTGTAAATTTTATTTAAAAGCAGTCCTTACAATTACCAGTTTTCTTTTCCTGATTGTTGCTGTGAAATAATATATTGCACCCTTCAGAACAGGATTTTGATTTGTTTTCTTGTTAAACTGAAATGCTTACTTAGTCTATGCAAAGACTAAAGGAATTATGTTAACCGTTTTGGTTTTGCTTTGTTTCTTTAATAGTTTTCTTAAGATGAAACAAATAATTTTCATTTCTTTTGGGACATGCAGTTCCAACTCACTTGCATAGGCCATAAAGAAGACCTGCCTTCTTTTCTGAAGGTTAGCTGTTCATTAGTGGGAACCTGTATGGAAAAAGAGGATATGATTTTCCTTTACTATCATTATAGGAGCATTTGTGCTTTAACAGAGGAGCAAGACATACTGTGTAATACAGAAAATTCTCCCTGCTTTTGCCTGCACGGTCCAAACCATATTAGACATAACTTCTCTCCTCATCCCCATTTTCAGCGCTTCTGCATACTCTGTCTGAGCAAACTACATGGTATTCTCTTTGAATTCAGGGTCTGTTAAGCTTGCATGCAGCTGTCCTTCCTGCTTAGATTGTATTTTCTTTTGTGGTCGTGATTGTCTTTCTGGCCTTTTCTGAGACATTAGCTCTACAAGCTGAAGCTGTACTCTGTTTGGAAGAGTAAGGGTTCCGTCCCAATATTGGTGCCATAACTTCCTGCAAAAAATAAGGACCAAAAATGGAACTTGCTTTATCTCTCGGATGAAGAAACTTCAGGGGTCTCACTGCTTTGACTTTCTTGGATATCCAGATTGTTTGTCAGAGCTGTAGTCAGTCCATAAATTCAGATGGAAAATATTTGGTTCAGACTGTGCCTGTGCAATGATTAAGGGATATCTTAATTATCAGAAGGATATATTCCTAGTTCAATATGTTCAGGGCTTATTGCCTCACATGAAGAAAAAAAAGTATTTTTGAGGCATTTTCAATTTTAATCTGAATTTAATTTTTTGACCCACTTGTATAGGACACCAAAGGACCTCTGCAGGACGCCATGGCAAGTGATGGGAATGGACGGGCAAATTCCATCTCCGCCTCAGCAGAGAGGACCCCAGGTAGCTCTGCTTCCTTCTTTGGCAGGGTGGTGCAGTACTCTCTCGGCCTCTTTGACAGAGTTAGGGTGGCAAGCCAGCGCCTGCAAAGCACAGTTTCCTCGATTGGGCACCATATAGCCCAGAACCCTTTGGACTCTTTTTTCATGTGTCAGCTGATGGCTTTTGGGGTTCCCTTTCTCTATGTCCAGTCAGAAGTTCTTGTGCAGATCCTAGGGGAATTCTGTGGGCAGCCTGCTGACCAGTGAGAATTAATGTGACCCAACTTTGTAAGCTGTATAACTCCTGTGATTTTTGGGTGCTGTGTGAATTTTGGGTGTTTTGTGAAAGTCTCAATATACTATTTTGCATTGTGGCTTTGGGGCCTAGATATTCTCAGTCCTTTCAGGGACATTATCTGAAATAATTCCAGGCAAACACAGGTACTCTGTTAAGGGGCTCCTCTGAGTGGGTCCAGAAAAAGGTACTTAGTCTGTAATGTCTGCGCTGCAGTGTTAGTGAAGTTAAAAGTCCTTCTAAGGAACTGGAATAACTCACAAACAGGATTTCTGTGTTTGCCTGAGTTCTGGGTGTTGTTTCTCATTCTCCCAAGCTTTTCTTCTTTAATCTGGTACTTGAATGGGGAAGATCCTATTACCTCTGGATTGTGTCTTCTTTAGAATTCTGGGTGTCTTTGACTGCTAATGGGATCGGATTCCTTAAACTCCTTGAATTTCATGGTACTGGCAGGTCATGGTGCTGTCCCCTCGCTGCCAGAATTTGTGCTGCTCCTGGCCACCGCTTTGGGAATTGGGGTGGTGAATGTGTGTCTTACTATGAAGTATATTTGGCTTTTAACTTAAAATTCTAATTCCTTCTAACATGGGAGAAACGCCTGTGCTACAAATGCTGATTGGCCTGGCCGCTAAATTTTCATATAGTGATGCTGGAAAAAGGAAGAGATTTGATTTCTACTATCTGTCCAGAGTACTATGGAAAAACTAAATCAGTTGCTTTTAGGAGGGAGAGCATGCTGGATAGCAACACTTTGAGAAAAGAATGTCCTCACAGTGCTAGTTGAGAAAAGACCTTACAAGCATATAGGCAGATAAAAATCATGCTTTTATTTGACCTTATATATTATTCTTACAAGTGTTTGTAAGATTGTAACTGAATGTAATCAGACAGAAATTTATTTTACTCTGTGCATAAAGCATAGTTACTGAGATAGTTTCCTCTCTTGTTTGTGTGAGATTTCCCTATGGCAAAATGGAGGAAAGAAAAAACATAGTCAAAGATGACATTTGTAAAAATGCCTTGGCAGGTGGCATAACTATAGCATTTTTAATATAATTAGCTAGAGTTAGAATTACTTTCTCTGAAGGTGGAGGTTTTTTTTTATGGGGAGCATACTCTTTGAAATGAATGGAAAAATATTTTTTGGAGCTGTTATTCATAGAGTATCTCATATTTATATATATGAGTATCTCATATAAAGGCAGTTTACGGAGTGAAGCTGCTTGTATGAGAAGTGGAAGAAAGTTTAGCTATGTATATTAATTAATTTATCAAAGCAAGTGCTGGCAGAAGATCTCCTTCCTGTGATTTAGTCATTACAACTGATCGAATTTAATTACTTGCAGTTGTAAATGAGCATTCAGTAAATATTATCTAAGTGATCACTAAGTAACATGAATGGTAGGCCACAGTTTGCTGTAAACTTCTGATCAAATATTTCTGGCTGTCCTTATGCAATGGTGGCACAACCCTGTAGCAAATCTGTGCTGTTTCCAGAGGAGTAAAACAGAGCAGATGCTCTTTTTATCAAAGATCAAAACTGGAAATACAGGGCTCCTGTTGGCTTTCTGTGTTTTTAAAGCAGTGCAAAGTTGAAGCATCATTTTTAAAGCTTTTGGCTCTTTTAAAGCTCTGCTTCTTGTAGTGCACAAAGCACATTAAAACATGCTCAGGTTAGCTGTGTCAAGTTAGGTCATCTTTAAGGCAGCGCAATATGTTGCATGCTCGTGTGTGCATGACAGAAATATCTTTCATGGTGAAAGGGTAAGCACTGTCTCTGTCATTCTCCCCCTTTCTGCCAGAAAAAATGCCATTTGTAACTGAGATTTCACATTCTTTGTGAAGTAGGTTCTAAGTACCTCTTAAAACTCCTGGGAATCAGTTAAGAAATGGGAGGAGGTACTGGCTAAATGCAATGCACTTGAAAAGCAACCTGCAGTTTCATTAACTGCAGGTCAGTTCTCTGTTAGCCAGTGTTAACAGTCATGCCCTGTAGCCACCTATCTTTAGTTCCCGTTGCTGGGTAGGTCAGGTGATCTGTGATGTGTTTACAGTTCTATATGTTTTGGAGGGGAAAAAAACAAAAAAAAAACCTTTTGAATTACTAAGCTTGATTTTACAGTGGAACAATAGGATATTATTCCTGAATAATGAAAGGGAGGCTGTAAGATTACATGTCTATGTAACTCCTGACTTTGAACTATCTTTGTATATACCTTCTTTCAATTTATTAAATTGTATGTTTTAGAGACTCTGGACATTCTGCTTGCACTGTAGAGTAGACCAAAACCTTAAGCACAAACCTGCTTGAATTGGAGATAGAGGCAGAACCCTGTTTCCAAGCCTCCACTTCACCCATCTGAGGGACTCACCAAATACAGGTTGTATATTTGAAACTGTTTAACCTCCTTTGAGGCAAGTGCCATGAAATTCGGCACTAGCAATTTCAAACCCTGGAGTCTGAACCACTCTCAGTAGTGAGGTAAATGTTGATTTAGCCTACCTGTGGAGTGTAAGCTGCCTCTAAAAGGAAAGTAGAAGAAAAGTGTAAAATACACAGGTTTGGTATTTGATGCAGATGTAAAAGATAGCTTAGAAGTCAGAACAAAATTGTGCAACAGAACATCAGTCTAAGGGAACGTATAAGACAAAGCACTCGCTGTTCTTAAATTTAATACCCTCTGAGTTGAATTCAGTCCTGAGTTAGCAAAGTGCTTGTTCAGTGGACATTTAAGGATTTGTGAAAGGCACATGGAATACCAAATGAAAGTAAATTGCATAGGTTTTCCCCTTGCAGTCAGTACCTCTGTCACTCTGCCACTGCAGCTTTTTTAGCTAGCTTAGAGCTTAAACTATATGCAAACCCAAAATAACATTCAGCAGGTTTGGTCAGCTGAGGTAAGATTGGTCACAACAAGCACTTTCTTGTGGGATGTTACTAACCTGATTGGCATGTGTTAACTTCGCTAAGCAGGTCAGTCCCTCAGCCTGTAGCCTCAGTCTTGGTTGGTGTTAAGTGTGTTTTGTCTGTCCCTTGTATTGTAATCGCTATAGTTGTAGGGTACCATCTGTGATATGCAAGTTGAGATTTTTTAGCCATCAGCTGGAATTACCATTATGTGAAGGTTTTGTCTGGTTTTCCAAGTAGCCTGTATAGCATCTTCTGTGATGGTTACAAGGGATGTTTAAAGGCAGGTTTTATTCAAACTGGCTTTTGCAGTACAGATCATCCCTTCAGCTGAGGAAGTGGTAACAAGCTTTTGAGCGATGCCATTTTCTCCTGGGAGGGGAAGCTGGAGAATGCTGTTTCTATGTCCTTCTCTGTACTTGTCTGTCTGTTTCTCTCTCTTCCGCATTTGCCTTTGTGCCAAGTGTGCTGCTATTGCCAAGGGAAAAAAAAAATCCTGCTTTTCAACTGTCTCTTCCTTTGATAATCTGTAACCACTGTGTCTTGGATTTTTTTGAATATTATTTACAGTATTTTATATGGTTTAAATGTGCTTTTAATGCAAATGCTGTTTTTCTGTTTGTTCTAAAGGTCTGTAAGAACGTATTTCTGAACTTTGAGCTCTTGCTTGACAGATGGACTTGGAACAGTCTTTATCCATATCAGGTTTATAGTAATGCTTCTTGGGGTGACTTGGGCAGTGATATTTTGTTGTAAGATGTTTCCCATTCCAGGCTTGTGTTCTCACAGCAATACATTTCCCTCCCTACCAACAGTAGGGAGTTCAGAAAGGAAGGACCTGCTAGGGAAACTCATACTTCAAAATATGCAACAGGAAAAGGCAAGTCATGAGATTTTTGTGGTATTTGCTTGTGAAAGTTAGTAGTTAGAGAGAAAGATTTAAGAAACCAAATCTAAGCCATAGAATGCAAAATTGAAAAATGCAATGCAAAACAGAGGCATTAGGTATCCTGCTATAAAATCACAAAAATATATAGTGTATATGAAATAGGTGTGCAATATGAAAAGTTTTAAATCCTCCTGGGGATGTGCCTTAAGTGCTTTCAGTGAGCAATGCTCTGAGCAAAGCTGTTTGTGGTGGACTCTTAATATGTAGTCTATTGTATATAGCAAGCAAAGGTTGTCTTTACAGAGAGGAAGTTCTTTTGCTGACTTTCAGGGTTAGAAAAAGGTGACTGTTCCTCTACATTGCACGCTCATAAAGATAAATTATCTGAGCCACATTTTCACAAGGATCTTACTGTCTGTACAATTTGCATGAATCTTTCTGAATACCTGCAATATTATTTGCGCACAATTCTACTTCTGTGTTATGCAGTGCAAATAGAGTTTATTTATTTCTATATATAAATAGGCTTCTTGCTCATAAACTATGCTCTTTTACAATTCTGCATACGTTGTGCATGCCTTACTTGTGAACGTGATTCAACTAGAAGCAATATTGTTTGCTCATGCAGACAAACATATCTTCATGGAATCTGCCACTCAATCACTTCTTTTCATGGTTGTTCACATTTGGGTTTTGTTCTTGTTTTAATTTGGTGCATTTTAAGCATTAAATTACAGAAGATATAGAAAACTCCAATTTTGTGACAGTGTTCTGTATGCGGTGCCTTCATTTTAAACTACCAAACATGAAGATTGCTTACCAGCACATTTATGCAGAAACCCATATTTCAGGATGCAACACCAAATTGGGAGGAAAGGTAGTTCCTCTACTGCTTTGCCTTGAAGGTTGTCTTTTCTGTTTGGAGAAGCA